GCTGGCTGCAGAGCCAGACCCACAGCAGGGAGCCCCTGCAAGGACAGGGATGGCTGCAGCCCCTGCCAGCAGCCGGAGGAACTGACCTGGATGCAGGGATCGGGTGCAGCTCGTGGCTCATCCTTCCCAGCCCCGGCTGGCAGAGGCAGCAGCAGTGAAGGCTCCAGCCCAGCCCACTGCTGGGTCCCTCCCCAGCCCACGTTCAAACCCCATTACCCCATTTCCTTCTCCGGGGAGCAGGCACCCGCCCTCGGCTCCCTTCACCAACCTCAGCCTGGCCCTGTGCCACCCCTGAAGGCACAAGCCCCGTTCCCAGGGGCGAGGAGCTTCCTGCAGAACAGAACTCCATAACCCTCAGGGAGATACCGGCGCTCCCGGCACCCCAGGAGCAGCCGCTGCAGCTACCAGTGAACACAGCAGCTCCCAACACTGCTTCTGAGAGTGGAGACAGGAGCACAAGGTAGCAGAGGGCTGCACCATCCCCTGTACATCCTGCAGATACGTCTTTATCCCTCTCTTCTGTTGAGCTTTCCCAGACCAGAGTCCCCAGCTCCATCTCCAGCCTCCCCTTAACCCTGCCAGGTTCCTCCGTGCACATCCCTCCCTCCCAACCACAGCTTCGAGGCCTCCCTTCCCACCAGGGAATTAAACAGACAAGTTGCACTTACCAGGAATCCGCTCAGCTGGGGCTCAGAGGAATCAATAAATAAATAAACAGGCCACACCTGGGCTGAAGGACAGTCACTACTCCCAGAAGGGACTCCAGCTGCCCAAGAAAAACTGCCCCAAAACTTCAACCCAGTGGTTCTGCAGCTGGTTGCAGCTCTGAAGTTCCTAGAGCAGAGGCAGTGAAGACAGCATTCATTGCAATAGATTTTTAAAAACTGAAGTCTTTATTAAAAGTTTTATCCAAATTTTTCTTTTTTTTTTTCTTTCCTTTTTTTTTTTTTTTGTAACAAAAGATACAAAAGGGCTGGAGATCCTTATTTCTGGGACTAGTCTGACCAATCAAAACTGACAGTTACTAGGCTAATATAAAATCCATACAATCTGCTAAAAATGCAGGGAAAAATTAGAAGTAACTGCTGCTCTGAAATTTCTTTTTAAATTCCTTTAACATTTTTTATAAGTTACTCAGTTTGCATTTTACAAGAGTAGTTCTTCTCTGAATTGTTATAGCTACTGTACAATGCAAGGAGACAACAGTAAGAACAGAACAAAGCAACAGCAACCCCGATGTGCTGCAACACACCACGCTCCTCCGAAGGAACTGCTGCGGAGCTCGACCTTCACGTGCTGGGTGCCGAGACTGCCCAGAGCGGCCGGGACACTCCAAGCGCCAGCGCGGCCGCACCATGGAGAGCCTCAGCACCACGTTGCTACATACCCAGGTGGAACTGGGGTGAGTCCTGCCCAACACGCATCTTCGGGCGCCCAACAGCTGCTACCCCTGCACGCCACAGGGCCAGGGGGCTCTCCAGAAGCTAACGCGTCCGAACACCTCAAGGCAAAGGAAGAGCTGGAGGTCAGAAACCCTCTCGTGGAGAGCTACAACCTGGCTGGATTCTCCCCCCTCCCCATTCTGGAAACCATGGACAAGGGACACAAGTTCCACAGCACCATCTGCACTGCTGTAGTGCATACACAGCCCGGGAAAGAGCTGGATTTCTGACCAATGCACTTCTCTTCCTGCCAAAAAGGAAAGAGGAGGATGCATACACCAGGCTAGCACTGAGGCAACTGCCAGAGCTGTTACTGGCTAGCAGAAGGACCCTGAGAATATATAGGCTAACGCGGTCTCCCGGGGA